CCCCAAAACCCCAAAACCCCAAAACCCCAAAACCCCTTTATAAATTTAGAAAATTGAAATAGGAATTTATTGATAAAGGATAGTGTAGAACGGAAGGTTCCTGGCTATATTCCTCCCAGTCACTTCCAAGAACGATAATGCATGGTTGTCTATCCTGTGCTCAAGAACTTGAGGATCATAGTTGATGTTCATGTGCTTTAGCTGAGTTGTAAAGAAGTAAGCAATTTGCGCCCTCCTGGCATTAGCAGCTTCGTGATCATAGATGTATAAAGAAAACCCTAAATCTCTATTTTGGGAAGGGATTAAAGGAGCATTTCAGTCTTTTTGGTTTCTTACATCTAAGAAAGCGAGCTCTTGATGGCTGTTCACTAATTGCTTGAGTTCCAATCCCTGAGAATATTCGCTATCTTTATCCCACAAAATTCTATAATAAACTCTAATGAAAGTTTCGACAAGCTCTCTCCTAATATTAAGGGTATCAGATTCTATCAACAAAGCTTTGAAATGAGTATCTCCGATGTTATAAGGTTCAGAAATAATTTGAATAATAGCATCTTGAATATCAGGCCTAGGATTCTGTATATCAATCCCAGTCTCATCAATCATGCTTTCAATATGCTTGATAGCTTGATCATCTGTTCACCAATGCAAACTATCCATCTCCATTTGATCCATGTATCCAGTTAGCAGCCTCTTAATTTGACTTGGGGTGAGCTCTACGCCAACTAGCTCTTCATAGACCACTAAACCTAGGAAGAACTCTCCAATATCACCTCCCATAGTATATAGGGAACCTTGGCTATACCTTCCATCGAGTCATTTAAAGTTGGAATAATGAGGATCTACAAAAGTGGTATCACTAGGTCTTCCTAGGAACTCATTGATGTTATTCAGGTCAATATCTCCCTCACCGCCTGATTGTCTCCCTTGTTTATCTTGTCTGATTCGGATCTTGGTTGGTGTGCACTTGACTTCACTAAGGGTCCTTATCTGGTTAGTCACCTCTCTGCCTCAGTCGCACACGGCATCATACATCATATTATTAACTTCCATCTGCGTAGTTATCATATTAGGGTTCTGTGTCTGTACTGAAATCCCCAAAACCATGACTAAAACTGCCAAAATTTGTAAATAAGCCATTTTGAGTTTTAGCTTAAAAAATATTATATTTTCTGTTCAGTCACGAAAGTTGTGAAAGGGGTTTTGGGGTTTTGGGGTTTTGGGGTTTTGGGGTTTTGGGG